TGTTACCTGTTATTACTTTTATCTTTAGTATTATTATTGTACTTCTTGCCACACTTCCCTGCTAGTAAACATGCCACGCTGTCTCTGCGCTCCGATGACTTACCTAGTTGAGCACACAGTAGGCAGCTAATAAGTATTGAAGAAGAATAAAAGGATTAGCTGATCCAGGCTTGTGAAGGAATAATCCAGGATTATGAAGGAATAATAACACTCCTCAGGCTTCTTCTGAATATCTTTTTGATCAAATATCTGAGTGCACACTGTTTTGTGTGAGCAAGAGCTGGAGAGAAGCGAGCGAGAAAGGCGCCTTGAACTGGGCTGAACTGAACAAGAACTGAGTTATTTTCATTGACTTGTGTGTTAAGAAGGGGCCCAGCACCCCTGAGTAACCATTATCTTCAACCCCCATCCTTTGGCCCCACTTCATACTTTCCATTTGCCCCTTCCCAGGACTATGTTCCCCTCAAATATTTTTTTCAAATGAAACCCAGAAAGCAAAAGCAGTGCTGCAGGGAAGGGGGAGGGGGAGGTTGGCACCTTCCTCCTTCCCTTGCCGAGAGCAGAGCCAATGTTTTCACTCGGAGGCCGGCTGGCCGCTTTCATCCCCTGTTCCACCTGTCTGGGTACGGGACTGCTGCTTGCCTATTTCCTTTCCTCTTCGGAGCTGGAGGGCAGTTTCAGGGTGGGGCCCCAAGCTATTTCTAGTACTGGCAAAATCCCTCCACCCCAACATCTCCTTTGCCTTGTGTGATCACATTTCCATTCCACCTCACCAGTGAGTAAGGAGTAGCAAAAGCGCAGGGCAAAAGGCTGAGAGAAGTCAGTTTCTCCACAGGCCCAGGGTGGAGTGAACAAGGAGGACATGGGTCTGCTGGGCTTTGCCTGGCAGGAGGAATGGTCTCGGTCTCTTCTTTCTGCAACCTCCAATCCCCGGGCGTGGGCGAGGCAGTGGTTAAGCAAAGAGAATGGAAAGCACATTCTTGAAGTCCCACTGGGTGCTAGGCACCTAGGTTGTATTATTTCTTTGGTTCCTAACAGCTCATCTGGATCATCATTTATCCCTCTGGTAGAAATGAAAAAAAAAAAAAAAA